CACTGCATGAGAGCTTTTGATGATCCCGAAGAAATCATGATAGCCACTCAAAAACTCAGTGCGCTCGTGGTTGTCGTCTGGGTGACGATATCGGAGTAGATTATTGATTCTCCAGTTGACAGTTTGGAGATTTCACTTCCATTCCACCTGAAGATTCCTCGCAGATTCCTAGCACTTCTTTGCTATACCTTCTCATCTCTTTTGCAATCTGGGCAGCCTCACTAGGTTCATACATTGTGTGGACATTCCATATCCCCACGTTTACTTTCGCTTACATCGAGAGAGAAGATACTTCGGCCAACTGGATAAGCGGTTTCTTCCACCAACCGGAGTCATTTCTCCATTCTGATTCCAGCGAGGAATAAGTTTAATTTTATGTTTTATATTTTCTTTATGCTTTAGAGTTTATTTAGCGGTCAGATTGGTTTCACAGGGTAGTGTTGTCAGCCGTATGTCTAAACCTCCCTCTTTATCAAGGCTTAGGATCGGCTACTAAGTAGTGAACTAGTCACCTAGATGAGATTATCATGTTGGATGAATATTAGATATTCCGACGTGTAATGTAAGGTGAGAAATAATCACACAAAGAGCATAGAAAGCAACATAAATAATAGAAAAGCATACAAAGTTGCATAATACGTAAAAATATCTTTCAAGATAAAGTTTGATCACGGGTAGCATAGAAACTAAATGAAGATGGTGTAGGGTTAATAAAACATATAGTAAAATGAAATTTTAAAAAAATTGGGAATTTTGAGACAGAGAGATTGGGGTTAAGCATTTCAGGTATTAACTTAGTTCAGAATATCAGCAAATGTAGAACAAGTTTATTTCATACACTTACTTCCGGTCTCCGTACGCATTTGGTAAGAGTTTCTGCAATAAGTATAAACCGTAAACGGTTCATTTTGGGTAAAAAAATCCTTCGCTTTGCAGATGGCTCTGAACACCAAACCAGTTGTGGTGTTGTGACTAGTTTTGAGAAGGTACTCAGCTTTTGCACTTCTGGTTGATCCACTAGCACCTCCTTTTAGCTAGATGGGGTAGTGTTCTCAAACGGGTTGGGTAGACTGAATCAAAAGACCTATATATCTGGGTTTATACAAGCAGGTGAGTTTATGAACACAGATATGGAAGTGGGTAAGATGCAAAAGCTTCTCCATCCGGTTGCTAGAAATCACTGAATGACTGAAGAATCAAATCCCCAAAGGGGTAGGGGTGAGGAAAGTTTTCTTTAACGACTTGAAATTCATTTCCCCAAAGTATCAGCAGTGAGTTCACCCTTGAAGTCAAGACTCATGTATGATATCTGCTTCGAAAATTTAATGAATATCCCTCTTATTGGTTCATGTGTAATGTTTTTGTCTACAAATCATGCTGAATATCCGTTTTCAAAGAGAACCTTTTTGGGAGCAAGAGTTCTTCTTCTAAGATATCCGTAATGCAGATTCATCGAATTAGATGGAAAAGCGACATGACAAGTGTTTTTCCTGACTTACAGAACCCAGCTACATAACTTTCTCAGTTGGCCATTTCACACAGGTGTCGTATAGACAAACCTCCTCAGTATCCTATCAACTCGTCTCGTGAATTCTTAATCCAAAAATGGCATTTTTGTTTCAAGTGTGAATTTAATTAACGAGCAGTAAGTGTTATATACTTAGTGGTGATTGCGGTTGAAATGAAAATTTGAACTTCAGCCGGATTCGAACAAGCGACCACTGGGTTTATCGGCCCTTTGTTCTACCAAGTGAGATACCAAGTCCGACTTCTGACCAGCCAGCCGCAGTCTAAATTTACACTTTACCTTCAATTATCACCCAATATAAATAATAGTCTGACAAACTACGGTTACCTCACATAATCAAATGTTATATACTTGTAAAACAATTCAGATCATAGTAATCATCATTAGTTATGAAGATTTAGTTAAAGTATCAGTTGTACAATAAAAACTCGTCAATTATTGTATGAAGGAAGTATCTTAATCAGGCTCTTGCTTTTATACATACACAATTTAACACAAGAGATAATATTTATAAATATATCCTGTTAAAGGGATTAAAACTCTCAAGAAGTAGTCAAAATTATTATTTATGATGCATTCGCTGATGAAAATCATAGACGAACGAGTAAGCCTCATGGCATTGTAAACAACTATCTTACTTTTTACTTCTACAGATTTTCCGACTTACTTACTTTAATCATTTATTCAGTTTTTAAGAAAAATAGATTGATGAGTACAAGTTTTCATTCACTAATTTCTACAGTTTTTAATAAATAAAAATTATTTTTATTACTGACATTTCAATTTTTTTATGTATAAGATTTCTTACTTGTTATCAATGAAACAATTTTTTTTCCTGATTTGGCAAAGTACATTTCCGTGCTGCAAACATTTATCTAGTTATTAAATCATTAATTTTAGTAAAAACTAGTATCATTTAGATCAATTTTTCAGACTATTTATTTTCTTTATTTGATCGAATGTATGATTAAAATCCAACTAAATAAGTCGGTCAAACAATCATGAATTTACAATAACATACCCATAGGTAATAAACATTTCATTTAGATCTTTCTAATATAAAAATAGCTGCTTTATATAATAAAGAAAATATTAGTGAATAACATTTTATTATGTTTATACTACTTTTGAGGTGACAAAAGGCTAGAAGGGAGACCATAACGAGATATGACACTAGTTCATGAATCGTTTAACTGCTGGTCTTAGAAGTTAAGGGAATTTTATCTTTTTTGAGTAATGAAGATTATTTGTAGTTTAGAAGGAGGATTCTGTTGATGCATTCACTGAACTGGATGATGTAGACTATCTAGTTAATATCAACCAACTGTTCAAAACTCTTGGTAACATGCTTGTAAATCAGTCACAATGATGAAGTTGTATTCACTGTTTCACATTTTTGAAAGTTTGAACATTTTCAATCACCTTCATTCATTTCTTGTCTTTTATGTCATACATTTTTGTCCACTTTATTGTTACTCTCATTCTATAGACCTATTCTTTGCATATTGCTATGAAATGAGGCAGTTTGAACGAGTGTATCGCTTTCCATGTCTTACCTTAATTTGCGTGTTTATAAATAATTAATACGAAAATTTTGATGAAGAGGAATATTAATGTCACTGCTACATAAGTTTCTCTCTAATTGTATGATTCTTTTTTCTAAGTTATAATCGTTCATTGTATAAAGTGTATTTAAACTATGGAATGGAGATGTAGTATATCATTGTAATTATTCATTGCACGGAACTGTTACCTGGAACATGTTCTAACATACAAGGCGTCAGGTGGTTTTGATATCTTGTATTCCAACCTACTAAAAAACTGTAAACCTACAGACCATTTTTTAAAATCTGTTTACCCGAAGATAATTCTTTGTGATGAATGTAATTCGTCTTCCTAAAGTAGACACTGACTTCACGAGGAGTCACGACTTTGTTACTCAAGATGAATGATAACTAAGAAATATGGGGCTCTAAGACTGTATGTGACAGTAAGGGGGATTCAAACAAACAATATGACTGCAATACTATTACTCCTTCCATTAAAAAAACCGGAGATAGTATCTAGAAACCATTCTCTTCTGTAAAGCATTTACTTTGGAATATCCAAAGGTTACTCCTATAGTTGCAACTTTAAAAAGGAATATAATCTACCTTAAATCTAAATGGATTGTTTAAAAAAAGATTTTCAGTACACTTTATTTTTCCATTTCCTACAAAGTAATATATAACCACTTACATTCCAAACACTAATGTAATCTTAGTCATAATTATAGTTCACAGAAAAAAATATGCATTCATGTTGATGACGTTTTCTTAATAGGTGTTGACAATGATAAAATACAATCAGTATATACGCTGGTCTTTGACCTAAATAACAAGTTATATACAGTTTAGTTGGCAAGCATTTCACAGTCGCAACCAAAATGTTGAGTAAGCTTCTTAAAATATATTTTGAAATTTTTCACTATGAACTCAGCGATGGAGATTAAGTGAAACACCATAAAAGGGCAGGAAACATTATTAGTCACAAAAGTAATTCTTAAGATCAGTTTTTATCCATAGGTTGATGTCAAATCTAACACAGATGTATTGTAATTTCCTACCAAAATTTGTTTTTCATAATTTATACTGATTTGTGAAGACTCAAAAGGAATAAATTTGAGATATTACTGTTGACTTGAACATCAGAAAGTTTAGGTTCCTTAAATGTCACCAGTGGTATCACCGTATTATAAATCGATAAATCATATGACATGGGATGAATCCACTAGGTTGAAGGAGAAAATCGTTTATAGAACATCGTTTTCTGCTTAATCTATTTTGACTGATATTTTTGTGTAGAAAATGGCACATACTCAACTGATTGAATACGTTCAGGTAATACAGACTATACGAAAGTATTCTACTCAATAACTGCTGCAATTTCATACATGTTTGTATGAGGTGTACTTCAAACCACTTGGAATGCTCTTAGTCAAATGATAAATAAATAGATGTCAACGGCATTTCTCTTTGCTGAAAAATAGAATAAATTCCAAATTTCTACTAAAGTAAAGGTTTTGAACAGGTTTTCAGAAATATTCCGTCAATATTTCCATTACTACATTGGAAATATAATCGCAGTGAGTGGTATTCAGCCAAGTAAAAACAATAACAGTTTCTATATGATGTTTCTTGTATTATCGCGTTGCTGACTGAACCGAACTCACCCGTCTCTATTGGCATATAGACCACCGTGCAAGTGTCTTGATATTACCTGTCGTTTCAGTTTTGATGTCAATGATGGATAGTGGCTAGCGATGGAAACCAGGATACACGTATCTTCCTACGCATGACTCGTCAGCTGGATATATATATATATATATATATATATCAATATAAAAGTGACTCCGATTAGACAGGAAGATAGTCAGATATCAAAGATAAGAAAACTTCCACATTTAGTTAAAAAACACATTTCTATGACTTACTTGTACGATAAAATTGAATACTTTACACCAGAATATACCAAATATCCAACTATTCAAAAAATATTGCATAACAGTTATTGGACTGGTCATTGTAAGATAGATTAAGTCTGTTACAGCCAAACCAACACAAAATGTCTCATATACCATACGTGTTCGATTGCAAGTTAAAACACAAATGACTAACACATTGCCAATAATACCAATGGTTACAATACAACAGACTACACATGCCATAATAATCACAGAGATTTCAATGTCAGGTCGTATAATGGAATGTGTCTCCAATTGAACTGGATTACTAGCAGGTTTATCAGTGAAATCAGCGAAAATAGGCAGGAGAATAGTGACTAATAGAATTGACTTCATTGTAAACGTTGGCATATTCATTTATCTTTGTAATACATCACAGGTTGAATGATCACTTCATTCAGTTATCTCTGAAAGTAAATCAGAGAAATTTCCAAGTGTTACTGTCCTGGTTATACTTCTGTTTACCAACTCATGCATATTTATGGATGGAGGGGATTATTTATTCAAATGATCCTTCTGATAATAAGCTGTTGCATAAATTATATTTAATTATTATGATGAAAATTTCTATGAGCCAATCATTCATTAAAAATTGCAAGAGGAAAAAAATAAGCTGACTGTATAAAATCTCCTTTCTTTTTCATTTCCTAGGAAACTATAAATGATTGGTTACTTTTATTCCCAAAATGAACTAGCCAATCAGAAGCAAGAAGTGGAAAGACAATTAGATCAAAAATTTTACAGAATATAAAGTTTCAGGTGAAGGTTTCATGGTTGTTATCTTTATCCCTTTTGAAATGTCTACCACAGCAAAAAAAGCGATTTTTTTCACCGTTTCTTAAGTTGTGTAACTCTGTATCATTGTGAAACGTGATGTAGGATTGGATGGTTGTTTGCTATTTCACTATCTAGATCAAAGCATATTTGATGAATTACTTCGACTTTCTAGACATCTTCATATGAACTATTATTTCAAAAGTTACTTGCCAAACAAGTTTGTAAATTATTCAAGAAATCTATTCATGATAAAAACTTTATGTGTTCTTACCATCAGTATGTGATTCTAAGAGATTAAACTTCGGTTATATAAACTTCTTGGTTCCGTGATTTGTGTGTGCCAGACAGGTTTAATTATGCTTATGATATAATTTTTAAGAAAAGATTTTAAGCTTCTTAATTGAAGCACTTGGAACGAAACACATCACATAAAAAGTGATACCGAATTTTCTATTTCTCTTCAAGTGTTTATGTTCTACCACTGTTTTCATCTTTAATGGACTCTACTACCCGTTACTGTCCTGGCACTTTTTAGCGATATTGCCTTTAGTTATCGTACATTTAACTGTAATAATCCTTAAATCTATTGAAAAAATCAAATCAAATGCCAGTTTCTACTTCAACGTTCATACCCTGTTGCAGACTGGACAACATGTAGTTTTGGCCTCACCCTTGATTAATTATGTAATGATGAGTAGTGTAATTCAAAAATTCGCATATTTTAGGGGTAAGCTAACCGTGACCTTGAAATTACGTTTCCTATGATCTTATCAAGGGCTAGTTTGAAACCTGTTCCCAGTCTTACTGTTATACTTGCATGGCGAAGCAATAAAACAGGAGATTCAGTAATCCCTTAGATCATCACTAACAGTTTCCTACATGTTCTTGTATTCAGAGCTTTAGTTGAAACAAAAAGATGCCGGTTGCAGGTCTCATATTTCTCCGTCACCTCTGCAAACGTTTTGACGACTTGCAATGAGAAATCAATCTAGGAAGAGTTCTGATACCAGTAAACTGACCCTCATAACTATGTGCAGTTAACAAAAATCATAATGATAGCCTGAGTCTTGAGTACACATTTGAAGTGTTCTGGCTGAAATGGGATGCGAATACAATAAATCTGAGGCCAAAGTGATTTTAATCACATTGTGTGTACTCCAAACTTATTTTAAGTTGATCCTAAATATGAAGAGAGGGGCTCAAAAAGAACCTCTAGAAATGAAACTGTAGAAAGGATTTCACCTATGTAACGAACCTTCTGCTATTTTTGGTAATCTATATAGAGTGCAAGTCGATTGCTAACTTGAGTTTTCAGGAGTGTAAGCATTACAAAAAAGATATGGAAAGTTTAATTTGCTTCCCAATAAAGTGATATTCCTTTTGTAATTGTATTTACGTTGATTGTTTTTATTCGCACTAAGCGATTCCAAGTAATTTATCATTTCTAGTGACTTTTATTTTTACTGTATTAATCTTTATGTTAACCTTTTGCGGAATTGTTCTCTTACTTTATATTTCTGTTTTATTCACCACAGCATTCTTTAATTATGGAATCAGCCACTGCTATAGGCATTTCAAACAGGGTTTGGGTAATAATTGTTTGAATTCCTGAAATATGGTTTGTTATAAGTTGCTTCAAATTACGACCTATCAATTTACTTTACAGGCTGGGAGAAATGTCCAAAACAGGTGACTTCAGTTTCAGGTTATTAACTATTTGATCATGTGTCCAACTTTCGGAGGATACCTGGAAACCATCATGAATATTGCAGGTTAACACTGCTTGCAGTTCTCTACAAACAAGTTGATTTCAGTTCCTTGTACCTGCTTACGATTTTTATTTGTTAGTTAAAAGACAACGTTTGGCTGAAGTCCAATTACACGCTAAAATTCACACATATAAGCACTTCCGTTATGGTAAAACCAGACACTTCCTTCATTTTATTGTCTCAGATAAGGAGTAGAAATACGTGCGGTTTCCTAAACCTGTCACTTTTGCTCAATTTTGTCATAGGTACGCCCTTACAAAAATGCAAAAGATGTTGGCAATGTAGCTGTGGTGCATAAAAGAGATATGAGAAATGATCTTCAGTTTCCCATAATAATTACTTTACCGTGAGACGCTATAAGGACTATTCGATTATCTAATTTATGTTTAAATATATTTCTTTATATATATCTTTTCACTTTTAACCATCAGCGTGTAAAGTACTGTTTAAAAACTGGAGGCATCCTTTGCTCAATAACTGGTTATAAATAATTACAATAGTTTAAACCCTCGTATTTCTGGATTACCAAGTTCGTGATGGTTGATGCTGTAATGTTGGGATCGATATTCCCATGACTTATCCTTGACAACAGTATGACTTTTGTCTATCGAAAACATTTCAGTCATTAAACTCCACTGTGTGTACAAACATGCTTTACAACATCTAGTTTTGATAATTTAAGCTAAACATTTTAAGCAGCTGTCTTTATTCAGTCAGGACTATCTCAGAAGGATAGCTAACATCTGGTGATAGTGAGTGTTTGGATAGAACTGATATCATAATACAATAACTTGAGTCCTTGTGAACTACCATCAATGACATCCAATGAAAAATGCTTCTCTCCAGTCACCACGAATCTTTAGAAGATCTTGGTATAGTTTTCTAATGTCGTGTTATTTTGCTAATAGTGTTGAAGTAATGGTAGCTTTCTGAGTCCACTTTATTGGTTAGTTCTTAATTTTCAATTTCCTGTCGTCATATTATTGTATTATAATGCTGCCTCCTATCTTGTATATAGTTTGCATTGAAGTAAATAGGTTGGTAAATAAAATGGCTTAGCGTTCATTACGTCATTTAGTTTAACTATCACCTTTCTTATGCAAATATTAAAAGCCTTGGGTGCATTCCACTATGCCTTTACAGTTCATAACGGTAAAAGTAGATACATTTTAGTGCTACTTAAAAAATGGATTTTACTTGTATTAAGGACCACTTGTTCACAGATAACATGGAAGAAAGAACATTTTTGAACACCTTTACCTCAAAACATCTTTACTGACATTTATGTTCCATTTTGAAGCGGGGGGGTTGAGGGAGAATCAAATACATCAGTAAAACTTAACTTTGAAGAGGGTGAGGTATCCAAAAATTAACCATCTTAAAACAAATTTGATGCATTTACATCTCTTCTGTGATTATGCTACATTCTGACAGCTACAAGTGTTCTCTATAACTTGAAAATCACATTCTAAAACTATTATACTTGATAAAAAGACATTTATATTATATTGTATGTGGTAAATGCTTTAAAGATTTTGAACCAACTATTTAGGTTTTTGAAAAGCATAAAACCGTAGTCTTTGTTGTGTTGTGTTCTCTGAGCTAGGTAGTTTAATCCTGAATCTTTCTTTGTTTTGTTGGACAACATCATCAACTTTAACTTCAGTATCAACTGAATTATAAATATTTCTCTTTGAGTGACTCAGGAGGTTGGTCTGTCGAAGCTGTTTTTGACTGATTGTTTCCATTGATTGTTGTATTTTACTGACTGCATACCTTTTCCGGTTGGCCGTTTCGCTGTCTGACCTCTGACCTTATAGTTATTCATAAATTTTTCGTACTGATTGATAACTGACTTTAATGCTAAGCTTCTAGAAATTCCCTGTAATTCTATTTATGACTGTTCAAGATCTCTCCGTCTTCAAAGTTGAGTTTATGTCCGTAGTTATGGCTGTGTATTGATATAAGCGACTAAATGTTATGTTTTAATCACCAACTTCTGTTCATGTGAATGAAGGCAAAAACAGCAGCCACCCTAATGTAATGAAAGATAAGGTGGAAAATTCCTTCATCAGAAAAGAAGGTCAAATTACAAACTTATGTAAGTCAATAAATTACATCATACCTGCAGGTTATTCGAATCTAGGTAAAACTAAGTAACTTATATTAGATGAAAACAATATTTTACTATCGTTTGACATTCATCAGCTAGCAAACTGATGAATTAGCCTTAACTGGTCCCACTCACTTTAAGGGTTACAGTACGCTTGAAAGTCAGTCGTCATGCTTTGTTGATTCATCTGTTAAATATTGCTGCGATAACTTGCAATGTTGTTTTACTTGCATATAAAGGTAAGGGCATAGATACTTAGCTAACTTCGTTCTTATTTATACCGATATAAACTATTGAGAAATACATTCTATTGTGCAGTATTCTGCCATCTGTTGTGTCGGCAAACACAGTGACATCAGAAAAAGGACTTATCCATGTTCTGCCTTCGGAAGATACAGTATGCTCTTTACGAGGTCGTGTAAAATACATTTGAAAAATTACCATCAAATTAAAAAAATTATAATTTATTCACCCCTTGATTTTGATGGAAAAATCTCAGATAGAAACCACCATCCACTTTAGTATTTACAATTCATGTGATCGCTCCTACTGTCGGAATGCTAAATTTCTGAGACGTAGTTTGTATCATCTCATCGTTGGTTGGACCGAGTTGATAGGTCCCTTTTAGTATATGGACTCCCGCGCGGACACCTCGGTGTTGTCTGTCATTTTGATTTTGGTGTTTATGATGGATATTGGCTAGCACTGGAGCCCTGAACGTGAGTTTTGTCTTATTTATGACTCGTCAGCTGGACGTACCTGCCTCCCAACGAACGATTTTGTTATTACTTGCCAATAGAAACCGATCACTTCTACCCAGTCAGAGACGCAATAATACAAGTAACATCACATAAGCATTACCCGCTGCACATGAAGTGGTTAGCACGACTCAGTGGCCCGGTGTATAAAGCTCTGGT